ATGAGCTGGGTACAATTACAACACTTAAAAGACATTTGGACAGGTACATGGATTGGAAAGGTTTAGTGGGATATTGGCCAAACTCTGGCACATAGGACTAGTTTAGTTTAGGAGACCTGGTCGGCATGGACGTGTTGAGCCGAACAATCTGCTTCTGTGCTGTATGACTCTATGACTTTACTTAGCAAACATAGACTGGAAGCAGATACTTGCAGCTAAGTTTACGTTTGGAAAATGGGCGTGTTTTAAAAGTATAATAGTAAGAATTCAGGACCAGTATGTTCCTCTAAGAGTGAGGGGCATGGGCACCAGGACCAGGGAACCCTGGTTGTCAAGGGATATCGAGAGTTTGATAAAGGGAAAGGAAAGAAGCATTTGTCGAGAGCGCATCTAGAACTAGGCCCTTTTAAAAGTATGTGGTAGGAAGTTTCTTAAGGAAATCGGGAGGGCAAGGAGGGGCCACAACATATCTTTGGTAGATGGGATCAAGGAAAACTCCAAGGCTTTTTATAAGTATCGTGACAATTAAAGGATTACCATGGAAATAGTAGAACCTATTAGATACCAAAGGGGAAACCTGTGCATAGAGCTAGTCGACATGGGTGAGGTCTTAAATAAATATCTCACTTGTATTCAGAGGAGAAAGACATTGTAGCCAGGGATATCAGTCAGCATGGTGAGTTCTAGAACACATTAATAATCTTAATGACTAGGTGTTAGATGTTTTAGTGGGCAAACATGGCGTAAATCCCCTGGGCTAATGAGATGTATCCCAAGCTGCTGTGGGAGGCAAGGGAGGAGATTGCTGAAGCCTTTGGAGATATATTTAATACTTCGCTAGGCACCGCTGAAGTGTTGGGTGATGAGGATAGCTATCATGGTGGGCTGAAGTACCTGTTTCTATGAAATTCCTTGCAATTTTAAATTTTGAGATGGAGCTAATTTAGCAATCTAAAGAAGAATGCAAGTGGGATGTTGCATAAAAAGATGGAGGCAACAAAAACTTTGCATGTTCGGGTTCTTTCATATACAACTTTGCTTAATCTGACCTTTCAGGAGCCTTTTAGGTTTGCAGAGGGCTGCTTAGACAGGCAATCTTGAAGGATTTTGTAAAATTTTTGATTTTCTTTTCCTCCTCAGTGTTACCTTTTTGAGAACTTGATCTCTTTTCAAGACTGAAAGTTCCAAAATTCTGTGCAGAGTAATGACACCTCTTGGAATAAAAGCCCAGAGAGAAACAACTCTAAGTTTTGTGGCAAGAGATGTGATGAGGAAATCCTGGGGTGGGCTTTTTATAGTTTTTCTTGTAACGTCATTAAAACATTTATCTAGTTAATTGCCTTAGATCTTTGGAGAAGGACCAGTTGTGTATGAAATTTGAAATATCAGCCAAATTGGACATGAACCATGTCACTAGTTGAAAGACGTAGATGACTATTCAGTCCATTTTAGTTGCTACATTCAGAGAAACTGCATGGTCCTTCCTTTTGAAGCATATACCTGTTTCTTAGGTTGATACTTTTGCTATCCCATGACTTGATCACTTTGAAGAGTTGATTCCTCTTAAACACTTCTTTTTATTAGTTTGAGCCCATCTTGTTACTTAGTTGACTTAGTAATCTGTTTGGCAAAGGGAAATCCACAAATTTACTATCTTTTATACCAGAGATGACTACCTTCTGTCATCTGTTTTGTTTTACCAGCCTTTCTAAATGATGCAGAACTGTAACACTTCAGGCTTTATGCCTTTTCACTGGACTGTTTACAGCCTTTGAATATCTTTTCTCTGTCCTAATGACTAGAACACTTGATACTAATGACTTCTCAGGCATGTATACTGATGCTATGTCCACATCGTGCAGCATTTTACTTGGTTTGTTGATGTGAGGTACTGACTCAATATGTCATCTACTGTTGGGTCAATTTCAACTTCGTCCATACCAACTGCGACCTCCAGGGAGTGTATTCTTATGCCTGTCAGTATATCCTAATTTCACTTGCAATAGCAGGATAAATACCAGATTTCCTGATTGCTTGTTCTGAGCTCACATAGCATGCTAAATATTTCCTTGCTATTAAGTTTATTTAGATAACTTTTTTGGTGGGGCTGTTGCATTTTGGCTGTCTTGTTCTGTGAATATTTGGATGAAATCATAATGTATGTTTATCATTCCCTATTTGCAAACTTCCATGAATCTCTTCCTCCCACCCCAATCGCACACCCAATGTTGATCTGAGGACTTGTTTTGTGCACTAGTGTGATTTTAATGCTTCTCTGATTATCCATTTTAAATCTGTTGGACAAATACAAGAACGTACAATCAAACTATCCAATTCCTTTGTCCTTGCAGGATTTCTGGAGCATTTTTTCTTTATGCTTAATTTACAAGTTAATTTAGGTTATTCTTTAGTCCACATGCACCAATTCTAATTATTTCTCATACAAGTACATCATTTCACTTTAATGCCGCTCGAGTGATCATCTACTCTAGATTTGAACAAAATTTCCCAGAGCTGGCTTCTCGGAGCAGAGCCTTTTACATCTGGCTCATGGTTAACCTGGGTGGGAATCAGAGAGCTTCCCAATCAGATCTGGAGTCACACAGGGCTGCCCACTCTCCTGCCTTTAGCCAAGTCCAGCAGGAAGGATGTGAGCCTGACAGGGGTGACTGTTCCATGCAGCAGAGTCTTGCAGGTCAATGCCTCCCTGTAGTGGATGATGTTGCTGATTTCTGCTCAGATCCACTGTCAGTGCACAGACTCTCTAGCATCTGTGACCAGTTTGAACTGGCCTTGGAAGTCGAGATGAACCACAACAAGAGCGAGGCCATGTTGTTTGAGAATTGGGCCAACCAATCCTTTATCCTCTTCACCACCAGGTCAGATCATCAGAGGGTGCAGGGTACGTGATTTGGTGGGGTTGGGGTATGTGCTGAAACCAGGGAGGAGTGTATTGCCAAGGTGAGGCAGAAACTGGGCAGATGGGAACACTGCTTCCCCTCCATTGCAGGTAAAAACCTGCTGATCAGGTGTGAGGTACCTTCAGTGTTGTAGGTGGCACAGGTCTAGCCTCTTCTCCTAACCTCTGCCACTGCAGTTACCTGAGCTATCGTTCGCTTCATCTGGAGGTCAAAGATGGATCATGTCCGCAGTGACAGTGTTCTCTGGATAAAGTGGGGAAGGAACTACCCAATGCTGCCCTCATTCTGAAGACCACCTTTGTAGCACGTCAAGCTGTACATAGACCCTCAGTATGTAAACACCAAGTGTCACTACATACTGAGGTTCTACTTGTCTGAAGTGTTAGGAAGGACAGGCCTGGCCTTGCTGTGGAAAGTTCCCAAGTAGTTGGACCTTCCATATCACCTGTCCCTCATGAACAAATTTGGAAAAGAAAACACCTTTACCAGAAGTCCATCAGGCAGTGGTCAACATGTAGCATCCTTGAGACCCTGCAGGATAAGGAGATGGTGGATCCTGTCGGGTGGTTTTCTGACTGGACCGTCAGTCATTTGGTAGAATGCCTCACCGCAGAACTTTCCACTAAACACATAGTTTGGCTGGTGGTTAGAAGGGCACTCTTTGTGAGACTCTTCATGAACACCCGGACTTTGCTGCCCTCGAAGTGACTGGGGAGAAAAGACTGTCCTACATCTCCTTCTGGAACGTGCCTTTGCAAAGAAGGTCTGGAGAGTGATGCAGTGGTTCTTGTCAAGGCTCATCCTGAGCAGCTGTGTGACACAGAACTCAGATCTACGGTCTGTGCTCCAGGATGCACACCAAGACAAACAACATCTGCACCTGGAGAACATCAACTCGATGAAGGATACTCTTTGGTCCATTCAAAACTTGTTGGTCTTCCAGTGCAAAGAGTTTACCTCAACTGAGTTTTCCAGGCTGGTACAGTCCAAGGTCCAGGACTAGTGCAGAAGAGTGCATTAAAGCTTGGTGCAGTTACCGTCCAGGCACAGTGATGAAGGACCACTGTGTAAGGTCTTTCTGCTAAAGTACATGAGGGTCTGTTACGTTTTCGGACACTCTCTTCCTCAAAATGCATGTAAATAGCGTGCTGCATGAGTAGGAAATGTCTTTGGCTTTTCAACTGCAGGGAATGTCAAATTCTAGTTTGTTTTTATATGCAAAACTGTACAGAATTGCTTTAGTAATGAGTATGTACATAAAGATAGTAATTTATGAATAAAGTCTATTTTTGCAATTTAACAAAAAGTTGACCTCGGTACTGGAGGTTGTCTGTGGGAGGCATATCTCAAATAAAAAATACTTTGGGGGCAAAAAAATTGTAGAAAGACAAATAACTAGAGCAAATACCAAATAAGACAGTCAAAAGAATGTGAACATGAGAAGTTATATTTCTATTATTTCCCAGAAAAATCAGACACATCTATAGTCTTAAGATGAATCAGCTGCCAACCTTCTCTCCGAACTGGAGAAAACCAGCCTCAAGACAGCAAAAAGGGTTGGGGGAAGGTAGAAAATTAAAAGCTTGCATTTATGTTATACCTTTCTCAATCTCAGTATATTCAAAGTACTTCGTAGTCAATCATGTACTTTTCAATTACAGCGCGATATAATTTAGGACAGACAAATAACCACAACAGCATCTAGATAAATAATATGCAGTGACTGACATGAGCTATGACCACAACACCCCTGATAGATTCCCCTTCTTGGTTAGCAACATGATGTCTTGCAAAGCCAGCTGAGACTTAACTGATTATCTAAAAAACGCTAACTTTGTCAACAGTACTCTGTCTTGCTATTGCACTGAATTGTCAATCTGGATGAAATGCTCGCATCTCAATGAAAACAGCCTATGATCTGGTCAGACTATAGTGACTTTACCTTTATGCTATAAGAATGTAGTTGTATAGTTAGTTCTGTTTGAAGCCTCACTTGCATGTGCTTTAGGCTATTTGGACCACCTGGTTTGTAGATTTTTTTTTTTAATTAACCTGATACTTTTGCATTTTTTTAAACAGTGTGAAATTAAAGTGGCACAACCTAAGGAAGTCTACAGGCAACAGCAGCAACGAGGAGGCAGAGGTGGAGGTGGGTTTGGTGGAAGAGGTCGTGGTAGAGGGGGTAAGTTAATTTCCTGACGAGTGGGTTTTGAACATGAAGTGGTTTCTTTACTGGAACAGTAAAGGAATGCATGGCTAGGTAATTATCGGTTTATCCGGTTAACCTTTTCCCACTTGTTCATTGGGGGATTCAGTCTGGTTATGACTGTTGGGCGGAAAAGGTTTAAAATGTATGGTTTTGAAGAATTACATTACTTTACTTTGTTAAACATGATTGTGAAGAGGAATACTATATAACTTTTTTAAGTGTGAAGGATCTATGCTACAAGGTATTGTCCATACGCCAAACCTTTCATGTAAGATGGGAGAAATAAAAGGCCAAAACATTGGGATTTGACATTTCCCACCTCATGTAAAGGGTTAGTAATGGAAAAGATTGGTCAGCAAATGTTTCTGCAGGTAATTATTCATGTCTCCTGGTTATATCACAGTGATCCTTACAGTTTCTCTTTAAGTGATCTTAGGCTCTCTACTTGTGTTCTACCCTGATTTCAGAATTTTTGGGTTAGTTGAGGATGGAAAATACTAATAGAATATAATGCAAATATAATTGCAGCTATCTTGAATCTGCATTTTGTCTTAGTGGGGTTAATGTATGTAACAATACAGGAAAATTAATTCGGGATAAAAGTATTCTGTAGTTCCTAGTGGGAAAATGTTTTCCTTTTTAAATAATGAATTAAACCTAAGCATTTTCAACACTTGTCCAATGATTAATTTATTGGGCATGCTACAAATTTCAAGTACAATTTGGAAAATGTTGCTGGATTTTAATCCTTTTTCACAAGTACCTAGATATTTTTTAATCCTCTGTTTCTAATAAATCTTGGAGGTATATAGTTTTGTGAGGCTCTTGTCTTGCCTTTGTATTCAAAGATTTTAACTGATAAGTGACCATCATTTATTGCATACAAAAAAAATGGTGGCATTGAATTCTCTTGAGTAGGCTTTCTATTTTTATTTCACATATGGTAGTCCCCTGCAGATTTTCTGGGGCGGCAGCATAGAATACAATATCACTTGTTATAGTTCTAGGTGTCAGGTTATTTTGTAGCCATTTGAGTTGTTTTGTTTCTTAGAACAAACTCCAAATTGTTTGTATTGCTATCTTTTCTTAGGACAAAATCAGAATTGGAACCAGGGATACAACAGCTACTGGAGTCAAGGTTATAGTAGTTACAACAATGGCTATAGCAATCCAGGTTACAATGGATATGGAGGTTATGATTACTCTGGGTATAACTACAACAACTACGGATATGCTCCAGAATATGATACCTACAATAGTAAGTTACAGCATTTGGCTACATGGCTGGTAACAATTTTTGTGAGGTGGTAAGATTTTGGAGCCCTGTTAGTAAACTGAAAGACCTCAAATGGGGTGTTTCTTTCTCTGAAAATATTGTAACAAAAGAATCAAATATTTTGAATAACAAAGCTTTTGTGGGAGAGATTTTAAAGCTTTGTAGTCTTTGTAGCTTTTATATTTCTTCTGTTTCCCTCAGCACTGTTGGTTAAGCACCATTTTAGCTTTGCTGTTTATTTGCAACCTGAAGTCTGCATGTTATTTCTGATGACACCACATTGGTGTCCTTCAAGGTGCTTCATCTATAGATAGATTGAATTGGCCAAAAGACTTTTTTGACCTAAATATCTGTAAAAGATTAAGATAGTGGAACCAGCTTGTTTTATGTTTGGAGGCTTTTTTGTTATTACCCATAAGTGGAGTGTTTAGCCAGCTTTTGTCCAGGTAACAGCATTTCCATTTTGCAGAGGGGGAAAAACTAACATTACTCGTATCTCCTCGTAGCAAATGTGCCTCCTGATGGTCAATCAAGGAGCGGCATTGATGGTCGTGGAGAAGTCTGCGGCCTGGACTGCCTCACCCTCTCTGCTGAAGGAGGCTGTTTAGAGGCAAGTGGCCAGGTGGGTAAAATTATAGGGGTGAAAGAAGAGGATAGGATAAGCCGTTACTCAAAATGAGCTTTTACCCATTTTCTGCTAACTGCAGAAAGTCAAATTTTGGTACTGAAGTTTTTATTTATGTCCAAGTGTGTTAGTAAGTTAGGTCAAAGATGTTGTTATTTGAATTGGTAAATGGGCCACTTGTGTTAGGCTTTGTAATTTTGTGTATATGTAGATTTACAAATTGCCTGTTAAACTTGTAAAATCCAATCGCTTTAACAGGTCAGCAGAGCAGCTATGGAAAGGCATCTAGAGGTGCAGGCAGTCACCAGAATAACTACCAACCATACTAAAGAAAAATTGATATAGTTATTTCACTGCAGGTATGTAACAGATCTTGTTGCAGCTAATGGAGGGAAAAAATTAAGTAATTTTCCAGTGTATGTTTTTAATAATGTAAAATGTCAGGTTTTGTAAAATAAATTTTGCTTTAAGTACTGAACATCAGGTAACCTTAGAGTTTTCACTTGAAGTGATTTGCAGCTTTTTGTAACAGGAGGTGTTAAAGGTCTGAGGGATTAACACTTTTTAACAAGTCTGTAAATTTAACAGGTAAAGTACTGCTAATGGGTGCAAATAAAGGACCCAGCAAGACGAAAGAAAAAGTTGCCTTCTAACTCTGACATTATACCTTGTTTGTACCCGCCAGCGGGAACTTCATTGCAGGACACGTGTCACCCTGACCACACGATTCTCTTGGGGCCGCGCATTGCGGACAGAACGTGAGGTGTGCTCGTGAAAATGCTGCCCTGTGGTATGGTCTCTTCAACATCATGTATCAACGTTAAAGATAAACTGGAAAACTTCAGCCTTTGTCTTCAGTCATCTTTGCATATATATATAACATTGGCTAAACATTTCTTACAGGCATTTTTTAAATGTATAATGACTTACTGCATAATTAATTCAGTATTCTTTATTTGGTAACATCTTGTATTTCAGTTATGGATCTACAGTGTGGTAATTTTTTTATTTAAAATGCTGTTTTATTTTTCTTTGTAGCTAAGTAGTGAAAACTACAAATGATAACCAAACAACATCAAGCAAGCTGTAGTATATTTTGGTTTGACTGGGTTAAATGTGTCAGACTTGATAAAACCAGGTCTGATGTCAATAGATCTGCTGCAGTAAAATGCTTTCCAGTGCAGCACCTTGAAGTATTGGCCAGTGTGTGTTATAATCTTGTGTGAAACGGTGTGAACTTTCCTGTTCTAAAACATTTTTACTCTCTCCTAGGTGGAGAAACGGAGGTATAAACATCAGTGTAGCAGAACAGCATGTCAAGAGGAAATATTAAATCTGAAAGCATCTTTGTTTCCCTTTTGGGACTTTTTTGTACCACATCAACTCTGAAACCAACATATTTTGTGTCCCAAATGTATATAGCATATAAACATCTTTTATGTTGTAGTTACTTTGCTTTGTACAACTTGAAGTGCATTCCTTGTGTACTGTGATAGTCTATAATAAAGTTGCTACTAACTGGTGATGCAACACTTATTTGTTGGTGTGCCCTGTTGTATGTGATGCATAGCATCTGCTGAAATAAAACTGAGTATGAATACTCAAATGTTAACTGTGGTTTTCTAGATGGCTATATATTTATCTTTGAATCAATGTTAGGGAAAAATAGGCTGGAGGTTGGCATTATAATTCATTGGACAGTTGGCAGGATGATTGACCTCCAGCCTGAGATGAAGGCGCAGAATGTTATAGATAAACTACTGATTTGCTATTGAAGTTCTTGCTCAGATTATATTATGGAATTAGTACCTTTAATTTAGTTATGTACTGCTCAAACGTGCAACAGATCTGAAGGATTATCGGGATCTCTTTCTCTGCCACCCTCCCAGAGTAAGTCTGCATTCCATTTTGAAGCACTTTGACGTTTACAAGGGGTCTCTCGGAGTGAAGTCTGTAGAAAATGGTGCTCTTTTAACTTGTCATTTTATAATGTCTTGTGTGGGGGGGTTAATTAGAGATCCCAAGAAAATATCTACGACTTTTACTTGGTTAACTAACTTATTTGGAGTTTGGTAAACAGGCTCACTGTGTTCATAGTAGAGCTTTAAAGCTTCTGGCTATTTATTCTGGAGCTTGTTAACTTATGTCCAAATATAGAACTTCCTGAAGGTTTAACTTCCCTTTTATATTTTGCGGGGGGTGGGGAAATAATTCATTATAACTAAGGAGACAATTCCATAGAAGTTTGAATTTGTCCTCAACTGTGTCTTACTGAAAACATATTCCTCTGTTTAGCAAACAAAAAGCTTTTTCAATGTTCAAATTAGTTGCTGGGCTAAAGCAGAGCTGTTAATAGATTAATTCACATTACTTGGAGAACAGGACCTGATAGTGATAAATTGATTTGCATTTGCCTGAATTTTTAAAATATCATTTAATGGAGTGGCAAGGTCAGCATTTATTACCTGACACAATCCTGGAGTTATTTGAATAACCAACAATATATAGGTTTTGGCTGGTGAAGCTTGGCTTGAACAGCCATTACAAACGAGGCTGGATGAATAATATTGGGGAACCAGCAGATGTAGAGAAGTTGAATAAGTACTTTGCATCACAGTCAACAATGTGTTTAGCATGCTTTGTCTTCATTGCTTAGACCATTGAGTTTAGGAGTTAGGATGTTGTGTTCAGGTTGTACAGGACATTGGTGAGGCTACTTTGAGTACTTTGTATAGTTCTGGTTGCCATGCTGTAGGAAGAATATTATTAAATTGGAAGGTGCAGGAAAGATTTACCAAAGATGTCAGGACTAGAGGGTTTGAGTAATAAAGACTAACGGGTGACTTTATATAGGCTTAAAATCAAGGGGGACAGATAAGTTGAATAGCAAAGGTCTTTTCCCTAGGGTGAGGAATTTCAAAACTAGGCATATCTTTAAGGTGAGAGTAGAAAGACTTAAAAGGGACCTGAGGGGTAATGTTTTCACACTGGTTCATGTGTGGAATGAACTGCCAGAGGAAATGGTAGATGCAGGTCCTGTTACAACATTTAAAAGACATTTGGCCAGATATATGAATAGGAAAGGTTTAGAGGGATATAGGCCAAACACTGGCAAGTGGGACTAGTTTGGTTTGGGGAAACTTGGTTGGAGTGGACTAGTTGGACCAAAGGATCTGTTTCTGTGCTCTATGACTGTATATCTACAACACCCTAGAAGACACTAATAGCATTCCAAAAAAAGAGGAAATGGTGCACAGGAAACTGAGGATAGAGATTGATTAAATCCTCACAACCTGGGTGGAATGCACCCTAAGATATTAGAACATAGAACAGTACAGGCCCTTTGGCCCATGATGTTGTGGTGACCTATTACCCTACTAAGATCAAACTACATCTTACTATCATCCATGTGCTTATCTAAGAGTCACTTAAATGTCCCTAATGTATCTGATT